CATTCACATTCTTTCCATGGTAAAGCCACCATTACCTTGATGGGTTTTCAGTGGATGCTCATTCATTTATCTTCTCTACAGTAGCATGTTTATCTTCCTTAGCATGATTCCTTGATATTTGTTTCATCTGTTGCTAAAGTTTGTTGGGGCATGATTACCTTGTTACTCAAGTCCTTTTTGCCTCCCTTTTCTCTCATATGCCTTCATCTGGCTCCTTTCATCTGCCTGTGTGATTTTACTGGAATGCTTGTTTCTCTTGGATCATATGTTGTGGCTGCATTCCAATATTCTTCCTTATTCTCACTGGTTTACCATCTCTATCATGCTCCTTATTTGCCTTTCCCTATCTCCTTTCCTTTTGCTTCCTCTTCTCTCCATATCTCCACTTTCCCTTCCTCTGTTCCCATCTGCCCTCCCCCTGATCATAGACTTCAGTGCTGTCAGCCTTTGTGGTGAAAATCTTATTGACTCAGGGTTGATGGGTCCTGTTTACTTAGGTTTATGGACCTTTGCCCTCCATATACAGCTGATTGTGGAGTACTGGGAGTTCTGTCAGGGAGCCTTACTCTTCATTTTTTCCCTCTCCTCCTCCATTGTCTCCTGTTTCCCTTACTTTCCCTCCTCCAAGGGATCTCGTTTCTTGCCATCATCTGTGGAAGTGTTGGACTTAATGATTCAAGACTCCTTGGATGTGTTTCTCATACTTTTCCAGGATTTATTCCCATCTTTTTAGGGTTTATAAGGAATCTGTAACTATGCATCCAATCTTAGTCATTTCATGTCTTTGTCAGTTTCTCGACGTCCTTCAATTTACCATGGGGACATAACTCACTTTGTGGTGATCTTTTGCTCCAGGACTGGGAATGACCAAGGTGGACTTCTTGGATGTTTCTTTTCTCATTTGACTCCATCTCAACAATCCCCCTACACCCATTCTCCTCTCCTCCTTTGGGAGGAAGTGAGCCTGGCTGGGTTGGTTGGTCAACATTGATAAGTTGCACCTAACACCAATTTTTCATTCATTTGGGTGTTTGCATCTCCACACAGCCCAGCCTTCTCTTCTTTTGAGAGATGTGGAGTGATTAGTTTCCGCTGTGTTATCCTCTCCTTCTCTCATTGTGCAGGAGGTTCTCTCTCTTATGGGGACTTGGGCTTCCATGGAATCCTTTATTCCCTTTGGTTGTGCTCATTTGTGAGGTCTACAATGGACCCTGTATAATCACTGGTTGGTTCCTTGCTTCAGTCCTCCTGTTCTCCACCATTCCCTTCCTTACTCACAGACTCCACCTGGTGACTTAATACACCCAATATCATAGAAAGTGTTCCTCTTCCTTCCTCTCATCTAGGTCTCCATTTGTTTCCATATTCCTCCTTGATGAGATAAGGGGCATGACTCAGCTCTCAGATGATTTTAGGTCAGTGGTTTCATAATGGTTCATCCTTTTGTATCGCTCTTTTAGACGTCTGACTTTGAATAATTTTCTTATGATGGTTCATGGTCATTTAGTGATGATCCATACAGCCAAATCTACTGTTGTTTACCATATCAATTGCCAGGGGGTATCCAGACTCACTCTCTCTATTTCCACACTCTTAACCTCTGTTTGCTGGACCTATGCTTTACAAATATGTCTTATAGGTTGTTATATTCTGGGTGCCCTGATTCTTGTCATGAAATGTCTTTTCAGGCCTGACAAGATACTACCTATGGGATGGTCCCTCGATCCTCTGGTGTTCCAGTAGCTGGGCACTCCTCTTCTAAATGCTTTTGCCACTCATCTTAACACCATACTTACCCTTTTCTTGTCCCCATTTTCTCATCCCTCAGCTCTGGCTGTAGATGCATTCCATCAGGACTGGTACAACCTTTTTCTCTATGCTTGATTCGCACTTGATGGCTCAGCCATGATTTCCTCTATTGAACCTTCTCTGGTCCTCTACTCCTCTTTTCATACCTCTGTCATGCTCCCTACTCCTTCAACCTCACTTCTTTCTCTCTTTCCAGCAATGTTGTCACTCCAGTTTCACTTGTGGCTTTTGTCTGGTCCCTTGTGAGACATTCTAGACTCTCTTCTAGTGTAGCTTTCCTTCTTTCTCATTTTGTTTGTTTATCCTCCCTCCTTGTCTATCCAAAAAAATGGCACACATTCCATAGTTGGACTCTGCGTCATGACTTCTCCCCTTCCTGTCTTCCTGTTCCTCATCTTGCTAGTTGTTTGCCCAAGGCTTATCACTTTCGACCATTGCTGGGTACAGGGCAGCTCTAACTAATACTTTTGGGTTTTCCCATTATTGTCATGTATTTTCCTCTCCTGTCCTTTCTCTGCTATTTCATTATTTTTGCCATCTTCATTCTCCTCTCCAGCAGCCCTTCTTAATTTAAGCCTGAATATTGTTTTCCTTTCTTTGCACCTTTAGTCTCTTGTTCCTTGTACCATCTTTTGCATAAGTCCTACTTCTTCTTTTTTGCCTGTGGCAGTAGAAGATTTGACTTGTATGCCATTGATGTTTTCCATATTCTTTTACATCATTTTTATATTCTTCATTACCTTGCTTGTGCTTTTCTCTCCAAAACATCTGTGGTTCGTGAAGGGGAAAGCTTGTTAACTCCTATCTCCCTTTTTTCTATTTCTCAGTTATGTTCTCATTCTCATCATTTTCTCTGTCCCATCTATGTGTTTTTTTTGTTATTTGGTCTGCACTGCACCTTTTCACAATTCACACTACCGTCTATATATTCTACAGAATTCCTTATTTCCCCAAGATAATTCTCCTCTTATCCTCACAGGATGGCTACTGCAGCTCATCTATTTATTGCTTTATTGGATGTAGATTCACAGTGACTCTTTTAGGTTTCCTATTACCAAACCTGACACCTTACTCTCTCTCTGCTCACTTCCATTATCCATTGATGGAGATCATAGAGGCTGGTGTGTTGACTACTCTGCATACTTTCGTCGCACATTATCTTTGTCATCTGGCTGTCTCATTTTCTTCAGGTTATTGACTTCCTCCCATTGCCATTCTACATAACTTACCAGCTCTGATTAGGTGAGTTATTTTTCTATATCTCAGACAATGCAATCTTCAAGGTCTGTAATGCTCACTGATGAGATGGAGTGTTCCAAAAGATTGCTCAAGGGTTTCTCATGGTATATTGCTTCATAAATATGGTTCTTTCCAGACCATACCAATTCATGGACTATCATGAGTAAAGCAGTGTCAGGATTGCTGCCCATCCATCTGGTCCTGGTTGAATAAACTGGGACTGGCTTGCTTTTAAAAATAGCGCTTTTGTGGTCACCCATTGCACAGTCATAATGTGTTGCATTCCTCTGGACTCCCCATCTTCTAGTGGAGTATGGAAGTCCTTGCCACATATCAGTTCCTAGCTGGTGGCATGGTCAGCCATGGAGACTTTCTTCTAAGAGTAACCACTTCCACTCAGTTGAGTAGAATGGTGGTATTCTGTTGGTGTAAATGGTGTGTCCTCTCCTCCTACTGTGGACTGAATGAACAATACCTGATGCTGCCTGGTTTTGGACTGGATGAATCCACCACAGGCAGCTTACTCTTCCAGCTGGCTTTTCCCCATCCTACCACCTCCTGGATGTTGGTTCCTAGGGGGTTTGGTGTTGGATCGGTGCAAGACCAGCCAATATAAGTCCTCACACGTGGTTGGTAGAGGTTTAATCCTACCGTGGACTGGACAAAATATTCCTGATGTTGCCTGGTTTTGGACTGGACTTGACCCACCACATCTGTATTCCCCTTTCCTAATGTTGCCTAGATTGCGGATTCCTGGATGGTCTGGTGGTAGTTGTGTACTGGGTCTGCACACGTGTACTATCTAGGTTGTCAGTATAAACATTTTCTTTTCTGGTTTCTGGTATCAAGGTGGAAATGGATGGGACCTTTCTCCTACTGCAGATGAGAAGAAATATACCAGATGCTGCCTGGTTTTGGACTGGAGTTGACTCACCACATAGAGTTTGATGTGCCCTAGCTACTCTACACCATCAAGCTCGTCCATTTCCCCCTACTGGACTTGTTTCTCTTCTGCCCGACTTGACAACATGTATCTTCAATGTGGGTGAAAAGTAGACCCTGGTACAGAACGGGTGCAGTCTCCCACAGGTGTGCACCTATGCTTTCATGGGTTCTCTTTGGGTACTTTCCAATGGGGGCTGATCTAGGTCATTGGTTCTCAACCTTTTTGAATCCAGGAATCTCTTTGGGCATCAAATTTGTGTCGTGAAACCCTTCACGGCATTCGTTACAAAAAAATTACTGCAATACTAACAGCTGTTACTCACTAATTTAAAACAAGGTAGTGACTTACTGTTATGTTGTATCTTTATAAAACCCACTATGCTAATAAAGAAATATAATGTAGTTGGATTACAATTATGTGACTATTATGTATTTACACGTTAGAATATGCAGAACTTTTGCATACTACGGAACCCTGTGGAAACCCAATACCTTGCAGAACCCCTGGATGTCTGTTGAGGAACTTGAGGGTTCCGCGGAACCCCTGGATGCCTATCGAGGAATTCAAGGGTTCCATGGAACCCCAGTTGAAAAGCACTGATCTAGAAACTCTTGCACCAGTCTATTCAACATTTCATTGTGGAATTCTACCTATAATGTGGTATTGTATCAGAAGTTAACATTTTCCAACACTGAAAATGTATTTCCAATAGATATTTAATCTCGCATAATAGCTTTCCTTGAATTGTTTCATGGATATGGTAGTGCCAAACAACTAATTATTTTCATTTTTTAAGTGTAACTTTTACAGTTACACAAGACCTATTACCTTCTTCTGTGTTCTTTCTGTCACAACATAGGTCTCATAGACGTGACTAACCATTTGCTTTTTTATTAAAATATAGTAATAAAACACAGTTTGGTCCCCAAGATATTTTTATTAACTTGTACCAGAATTACTTATTCAGGATTAATGGTCTTATTTATGTGGTTGTTTCTGTTTTCAGTTTGACAGAAGACGAGCAGCTCTTGATGATTCTGATGAAGATTTCTGAGAAGTGCTTATCAACATTGGTCATTGTTTAAATGAAACATTATTCAGAAGAAGAATGTGTAAATGTTAAGCCTGCAAATTACAGTTACATGTACATGACTATAATGTTGAGACATGGAAATCAAGACTTTGCCAGGTTCAGATTTACATGCTCTGGTTAAAATCTGAAAATAATACAATGACTAAAAGAAGGAGAGATGTTCACTGAAGTTTAATCTTTTTTTTTTTTTTTTCATATATTATTTGAGTGCCAGACTAACTTTGCATAATAATATTGTTTTGCTAAGTTTCAGACTAACTATATATATGGGGAATAAAATGCATTTTGAAACTTGGATTTTTTTAAACTCCATAGGAAGACTACATAAAGAAATTTCAGTAATAATTCATAAGATTTAAGAATTATAAAAATTGGAATGACAGTATAAGTTAGGTTACCTTATAAATTCCATCATTAGAAATGGAAATAGCTTAATACAATATATTATGTATCTTGAAACTTTTTGAATTGTGATTAAATCTTCCTTACCGAACCACATATTTTTATGTGTTGTTTTTAATAGTTAATTCTTAATTTTTGAAAGTACATGATTTATTCATTCTGTTGAAGATCCCTTTATATTTATTTTGTCAGTAATACAGAGTTCATGTAAAGGAGATAAACTTGGCTTTTCCATTTAACCAAATACCTTGAAAAGGTGAAAGTGGGGTTGCATTGTATATACATAAAAAAATATTGGATCTGAAAGCTAGAAAGGGAAAGAGGTGTACAAAAAAAATCACTGAAACTCAACTTCTAAATGTAGCTAATTTCAGTTTCTAAAAGAGCGAAAGTTTGCTCAAACATGATGTTATTTATGTATAAACTTGGTATTGCTGAATCAGACTTTTGGACTTAAAACAGCAAATCATGTATATATTCATCAATTCAGTAAGTAAGTGATGTGCACGTTAAGAATGGCATGGTCGTGTCAGTTGAACACAAAAAAAATATAAGTTTGATATAATCCAATTAGGTTTCAACAGTGAACTAAAGTACTGTAAAACATTTAAAAAAAAAGAACTGTAGGTTAGAAGTAGCTAGAAAAGATAAACAAAAACCTTGAGTAAATCGTTGCATTTTAGCAACTTTTGTAAGATCATGTGTTGTATGTGAATAAATAAACCTACCGCAACAAGGAAATAAATAAGTAATTTTTGTTTTTCAGTTTTGTAAACTTGAAATAAGTTTCAAATATAAGGAGTTTTTAGCTATTTTCATTAATAACTGTCAAGGTTTAGACTTTACCAACAATTCTTGTTGATCACATCCGCTTCTCTCCACAATGCACCTTGTGTTCACCAGCCACTTTCTCAGAGTTCCATGTTGGCTCACTCAATTCTAGTCACAATAGCTCCATTTCATGAGTTTTGATCCTTGAGAAAAACTGTCTTAAATTTATGTTCAAGCCATTAAAAGCAATATCCTCCAAAAAGTTGTTTTTTAATTACATTTTTTCTCTCTCTCTCCAAAGTATTTGGAAATTAACATTGTTGCAAAAACATTACACTTTAAAATATAATTTATTCTGGATTTTTTTCTAGAAAACTTGATGAGGGCTAAACCTATTACAAGACAATTACTTCAGTTTTACATATGAAATTAATTACAAACAGTTTGAAAGCAAAATTTGAAAATTATCAGTCTTCACTTAATATGTATACAGCAGGTTACCAATGGTACTTGAATTATAAAGTATGCTTAATAGCACAAAAAGTAATGTGCAGTAAAGTTAGTTTGTAAAACCGTATATACTACCTGTAAGCCAGGCATTGCCTAGTAGTTACTGGATTGCAGATTAAAATGTCCAAGGTTTGTGCTGTGATGCTTCTGAGTACACTCCACACTTCCAACTGTGGGTCCATTATAAAAGTGACCGACTGACTTTCCTCTGATCAGTAATTCAAAAGTAGGGATGGTTACACCTGAATCATAGGAGTTCTTTGAACTGGCAATTTAGCATGGTTCATAAAGTGCTGTTTAGGTATAAAATACCAATATCTTCTGCCTGATGTAGATAGCATTGAGTAAAATCTATCCCTTCTTGCCAATACTCGGGCACGAGGTCTAATGTGTTAATCCACTAGGAACTTTATAACGTGTCCACATAACCATCTGTCATGGTAAGGGAAATGCATTGATCCATATTACAGCATTCACTGTTTGATTTCTTTGCTATTGACATCTGTACCTAGGATGAATGGACAGTCATGCTTAGAGCAGCTTTTCCCAAAGTGTGGTCCGCGACCCGGTATCGATCCATGAAAAAAAAATGCCGATCCGCAAAAACTAAAAAAAAAAAAGTTAAATTAATTTTAACCATTTCACTACCAACTGCCATTTTTAAACTTTCTCCAAGCCCTTGTTGTATATTAAAGAAAAAATTAATCAAACCAGTTAATGTAAATATATTCTAATAAAATTAATATTTTTCAAATACATTATAATTTAAACTTTCATTTCATCTAACTTGGATTTCTCAGTATTTCAATTAAGCTAATATAATAGGAAGGAAAAGTGAGAGTTTGTACTTAAGGCTAGAAAACTATAGCATTCACAAGTTGAAGGCTGACTTTATACCTTCAGTCCCTCCGGAATTAAGGTGTTCTCACTTAGTGCAATTTATAGAGCCTAATATTACGTTTTACGGTGTTGATAACCTTAAGATTCTTGTGAAATGATGTAAATTTAAACCACATGTAAGCTAGACACGTCTCCCTGCTGAGTCAAAGCCCATCGTCCCCTGTCTGCAGGTAAGAGCAAAGAAGGGATTTTGTCTCACATTAAAGGACCATTTGTTCATTCACGAAAATTTGTTTTTCCACGAGATCTTCCAATGAAAACTTAGTTATGGCCTCCTATAAAATTTCAAACTAATAACCAAGACAGGTTATCTGCATACTATTAGTGAAACGTTCATACTTCCTGCAGTAAAAAATAACCAATAAAACAAGAAAATCAGTTAAATGTACTGTCCCTATCTAATAATACAGTGAAGCATAGAATTGTGGATATGGAAAAAATATTGAAGAAACACTTATACGTCGAGTTCACTTGTAGTCAGTTTTTCATTACAAGTGAATGAAAGCACAGACATAGCAGATAATACCAATTTAATGTGCTTTGTAAGATATGATTATAAGGACACAATTCTTATAGAACAAGGGCTGACAAAATTTTTAATTTAATCAATAATTTTATAATTCAGAGTGGTATTCAATGGAAAAACTCTGTTGGATTGAGTACCGATGGTGCTTGCTCAATGGTAGGTTCTCATACAGGAGTTTTTCAGAGGATCCGAGCAGTGGTACCAGACTGAATGGGTGCATTGTAACATTCACAGAGAGGCATTAACAGTGAAGAAAATGCCCTTACTTTGAAAATAAACTATGCAAGAATGTGTTAAATTCATAAACTATATAAAATCTCGTTCGTTGAATTCCAGAATCTTTACTGCTTTGTGCAAAGCATTGGGAAGTGAACACGAGCATCTCCTATTACACTGTGAAGTTCAGTGGTTATCAAAAGGAAATGTCTTAAAAAAGACTCATCGAAATGAAGAATGAAGTTATCTTGTTTTTGGAGCAACATCCCCCATCAACAAAGGATGCAATATTTGAATTTAGAGACAGGCTTCATAATTTACATTGGTTAATTAAAGTGGTCTATTTATATGACATTTTTGGCTTCTTAAATGCGTTAACTCTAAATTTACAAGGTGCTAACATAAATATTTTAAAGTCCAGGGAAAGATAGAAGCAGCTATAAAAAATTAACCTGTGGATACATCGAGTTGAGAAGATAAATTATAAGCCTTTCTGTACTTTTACAGAATTACAAACCAAGATAAAGATGTTTGTTTTTTTGAATTTCGCGCAAAGCTACACGAGGGCTATCTGCGCTAGCCGTCCCTAATTTAGCAGTGTAAGACTAGAGGGAAGGCAGCTAGTCATCACCGCCAACTCTTGGGCTACTCTTTTACCAACGAATAGTGGGATTGACCGTCACATTATAACGCCCCCACGGCTGAAAGGGCGAGCATGTTTGGTGGGACGGGGATTCGAACCCGCGACCTCCAGTTTGCGAGTCGAGTGCCCTAACCACCTGGCCATGCCGGCCGAGCAAGATAAAGAAGGTAATATTCCAGGTGAGATTTCCTCATCAATCAAAGATCATCTTTTGG